GGGAGCAGTGGCGAGGATGCTCGGGCTGACAGCTAAGGAGGACCGCCGCTCTCCGGATGCGCGAAGGACCAGCCGCTCCCCGGCGGAATGCGGGCGACTCCTCCTGGCCGCGCGGCCCCAGGAGACGCGCTGCATCCCCGCGGCCTGTGAGCGGGCCGGCCCGAGGTCCCCCGGCAACAGTCTGGGAAGAGCGGTCGAAGCGCGGCCCGGCTGGACGCCTGACCGCCGCCCCCCCTGCATCCCCGCCTTCGTCCACGGCAGGCAAGTCCCCTTCTCCCAAGGCGAGCGAGGAGGTGGGTTGGGCTGGGCGGCCGGAGGCAGGTCTTTAGAGGAGAAAGCTGAGCCCGGGAGGGCGGGTGCGCGCGCGTTTGTGTCAGGATCTCGCTCCTGGCGGAGTCGGAGCCCGGGCAAGGTGCCCAGTTCTCAGTAACGACGTTGTTAGTGGACGAATAATGGCGAAGCCTGTGCTTCTTTTCAAATTCCAAAGCATTCTTTTGCAGACAGAAAACATTGTATTGTACCTATTGTGGATCAAGAGAGTGTGCCTATAGATTAGGAAATAACCCTTGCTGCATGTTCGGTTACTGAATTTGGGGGTTTGTGCAGTACTTTGAACTGTAAACTGACCAAATGGGCAAAGACCCCAAAACCTATCCAGGGCCAACACCAACCAAGCTTAGCATGTTGTGCAAACTCAATGTGCTAGGAGGGTTTTTTTGGGGGGGGAGAAGGGAATGCAAATTGCTGATAGTTTTAGAACTTTCTGATGCATGCTTTACACAGTTATCATTTTTCAATCATTCATCATTCTGGAAATCTGGATGGAAGCATCTGCTTTCGCAACAGACACTGTTTAGGCAGAACAAATGTTGGGTATTTGCTTGTCAATAAATAGCCGGAGTCCTTGTGGAGCCTAGTTAGCACAAATTCCAGTCCCCTGGTCTGGGCAGGGACTGTGAAGAAAAGCTTCTCCAGCACCAGGCAGGGGTGCCATGGAGCCCCCTGGCTGTGGCTCCACAGAGCTGGGCAAGTGTGATTCTGCCACTGGCAAGCTTTCTATTTAACCATTGTCATTAGTGATAAATAGTCCTGGTGCAAATTGTCCTTAATTTAGTGAAGAGTGAAACTTTAAAAAGTACTGGACAGCCCATGGGCCCTTTGAGTCATCCTTTCAGAGGTATTTCCTTGACTAAACAGAGAAACAGAATGACCACAGGTGGGCAAAAAAGCAGTGGGAGCAGGAGTGACCTCTGACTGCTGGCTTCCCCATTGACTTTGCTTGTGGGGAGCTGGCAGAGAGTTTAGGAAATCCCTCCTCCTCCTCCTCAGTGACCCACAGAACTGCCTGCCACTTTGCTGTGGGGAGGGGGAACAAAGGGAGCTGTGAGGAAAACTGCACTCTGCTCCCCATCCTGGCATGTCCCCAAGGGCCCCTTCCCTCTAGGGAGTAAGAGGGCTCACCCATCAGCTGCCAGTGCCCCCAGCCAGCCCTACCTTGCCAGCAGGCATCCAAGTTGCTCCCTCGTCCTTTCCTCACCACCCACTGCCATTAAGAGATTTCAGATTTCGGCCTTGGTTTCAAAGCAGCCAATTGCCACTTGCCCGTCGGGCCTTGCCACCAGCTGATTGGGTGCAGGGGCCAGAGGGAGGGGAGGGGATACACCCCTCTCATCTTCCCCTGTACCACACAACCTACAGGTTTGTGGGAAGTGTGGTCAGAAGGCACAGTGGCACTGAAGTGACCACAACTTTGCCAAATTTCAATTCCACAGGAGTAATGGGTCCTAGATTTTGGACAAATTCTGTAAGTTAGCCCATTTGAGGTACCTTGGTTCAAAAGTTGTTCCCCTATGATGCACCATTTTGCCCAATTGAAGGTTACAAAGAGACAGACACAAGAGTTTTAGTAGTATGTAGATAGATTTAGTGGTCAGTGTGCAGACGGAGTGTGTCCTTCCCCACAAGAGGAGTACAGGTTGTTCAAGTTCCATGCAGTTCAGTGTCTCTAGGGAAGTCCCACCTAGTGCGTATTGCTCTTATGGCTCAGCACCTAGCAGTTCCAGCCAGGGATGAGGGGATGCTGGAAGTCGTAGTTTGGCCATTATTTTTATTACCACAACTGCTGCTATTTACAGTTGCTTCTCTGATTGTGTAGGTGGATGATAGCTGGCCTGAGAGCCACCTTGGGCTTGACGTACATGGCACCTGCTCTGCAGTATGCCTCTCAGCGTCCTTCTCGGAGAGTTCTGTGTCCGGTGGGTGCTTCCACTCCCCAGTTTTCTGTAACATTCGTGACAGGTGCGTGCTCTTCTGGCATCAGAACGGTTTGTTCTCCTGGTGTCTGCAGAGACACAGCCTCCCCTTGATTTCCCCAGTGGGTGGCTTTATCCTGGTACACTCTTGGCTGACGGCTCTTTTACAATATGCCCATTTCTTGTGAGTTTCCTATGTGTATTAAGGGCATGCAACGCTTTGGATTTGATTCCAAAATGTGCTTCAGAGCATGCAGAAAAGTATAATCAACAACTGTCTGCAATTCTAAAGCAGCCACCTCTTTCCCTAGGATCAGGTGGCACCTGGAACTGCATGCCCTTCAATAGACACTGTTCTCCCCAGAGTTGCGTTCCTCACCTGTAGGCATGACTCTTCCAAACTGGATCCTTTCCCCAGTGATGAGGTGTTACAACTCCGAAACCCTCCTAGGTTGGGGAAAAGCACAGTTAAAGCTAAAGTTAAAGTTAAGCACATCTTAGTTAAGGCTAACTGGCAGAGGTTTTAATAGAGAAGAGTCCGGTGTACCAAGTGCACGAATTACTAACTTTCATTTGCAGATACAAGCAAACCGGTTTAGAGGGGAGGAAAAAACAGTGGGATTGCATGTCATAAAGTGCAAATCAATTCAATTTGGGTGAACAGTGACCTTTCCTGTCTTGTGTATGCACTACTTCATATCTGTGGAAGTTGCCACTATATTTTAAAATGTAGTATAAGCTACCTTAGTACAGCGGTACCTCGGTTCACGAATTTAATTCGTTCCGCGACTCTGGTCGCAACCTGAATTGGTCGCGACCCGAATCAAATTTTCC